GGCTCATAATAGCCTATAATAAGTCATATAACTAATCAAATATTCAAATTTCATAACATAAATATAAACAAAAATAATTTTTCGTATCTTGTTAATTTTTCATGTCAAATTTCATAACAGAAAAAAAGTGATTTATAAATGAATTTTTTTTATTTTTAGTTAATAAAACAAAATTAAGATTAAAAAAAAAAAACATGTCGGAGTGTGTCAGAACGTTGACCACATGTCGGAAAAAGTTGACTGTGTGTTGAAAAAACGTGTCGGAGCGTGTCGAAGAGTTAACCACGTGTCCCAAAATATTGACCGCATATCGAACGCGTGTCGAAACGTGTTAGAGCGTATCCGTGTCGGACGCACATTTTTTAAAAATACACAAGTCCGTGCTTTAGAGTATACCATATGCCCGCATGATAAAAAACTTAATTATTGCAATTTGATCATCATCAAAATTTAAAATTTAATATATATTTTTTCTTTCCGTCTTTTGCTTAAATTGTTACTTTTAAAACTTAAATTTTTTTGCCAACAAAAAAAGAAGAAGTAATATTTCACTTTCATATAATAATTTAAGCATTTTGGCGTAAGATGTTTATTGGCGTCGTTAACGAAGGGTTTGTTTGGTATCCAAGTTTTGGGTGGAAATGGAAAAAATCGGACATGATTAATTTATATTGATGTAACAATAATAAAACTTACTCTCAATCTTAATTATTAATTTCTATTCATCAAACTATTTTAAATTATTAGATTATTTTTATTAATTAATTATTAATTTTTAAAAAATTATAACCATTAAATATACGAAAATCAACAATTAAAATTGAATGTAAAATTTATTATTTTTATTATAAGTAGATCCTACCAAAAAAAAATAAAAAATAGGTGTCAAGAAAATGGTTGGTTCTTTCGGTATGAAAGAAAGAATAAAAAAAAGAAAAAGGATAAGAGTTGAACCACATATCAAATCAGAATAAAGGAATCTAGACCTAAGTTAATGAGTTAAACGACTCCATCAATGAGGAACATCATTCAAACCGCATAATGGTAGACTTAGACCAAATTTTAATCTAAAAGCTTAAGGCTTTTAAGTTTTTTTTTTTTTTTTTTTTTTTTGGCTTTTTCACTTATAATCCTGAACTTATTCCTAATCAATATGAAATTCCATCACTTATACATAAAATTTTTAAAATTAAGAATCGATCCCACGATTTTGGATTTCACATATTTTTATCCATCTTCATATTAACATGCTTGTAGTCTATTCTTTTTCTTGATAAAACCAAACAAAGGAAGGAAAGCCTCTCTTATTTTTCATTGGATGATACCAAACAAGGTGAGTGATAATTTCTCTACTTTCTTTTCTAACCCTCTCTATCATGCCACAATGTTGAAAGGTTTACTACTTGCTGTCCAAATTTTCTAAATAACGATTACATACTTAAATTTGACCTCAAAAGATATATGAGACATCATCAATTTAGTCCCTCGATGTTTTAGACATTAGTGAATTCTTAAATTGATGTTTATTTTACACTACGAAGAAATTATGCAGTGAGCGAAATCTTTAGAAACCAACTTGCAATTCCTTATTGGATTTTTATCTCCCATCTCTTTCCACCTTCCATGGTTTTTGTCGAGCTACCTGCAATTCCTTATTGGAAAAAACCACATCTCCTTCCTTGTTGTGTTTTGCACTCCGTTGTACCACATCCTCCTCCTCCCCTGATGTTAGCATCGTCTTGCTTTTCAATGGCTTTTATTTTAGACTGCTTCTCTTTCTCGCTCCCATGAATGCCAAATTGTCGCGTTTCACGGCTGGGTATATTTTTTCATCTAAAGAGAAATTTTTTTACAGAACCCACTCTTTATATATCCATTTATTTTTATTTTTGCAGGTGATAAGCTATGAAGTACTGATATCTAGGAAAAAAATTTCCAACAGATTGGACACGAGTTTGGTACCGATACTGTTACGAAGAGGAGCTCCACACGTGTAAAGAGTTATCCCACTAAACTCAATGATTACATGGCATAGCAGTTGGGCAGTTTGAAGGTAGTTGAGTCACTGTAGGAGTTAGTTAATAAACAGCAGTGTAATAGTTAGTTAACCGAATGTATAAAAGCTGGTTGTAAGACCCCGCACCGTTAATTAAGAAAATTAATTAATTAATTATGTTAAATTAGGAAATGATTTCATAATTGACCCTAATAATTATTATGAGGCTCTAATAATTATAATAAGTGATTAAGAATGCTGAAAGTCGCTTTTCGGAAGAAAAGTGCGGATACCGGTTCTGCTAGTCGGTATAAATGTGTACCGAAAAAGTATCCTGAAAAATTATAATAAGTGCATGATAATTCCTAGAATAATTTATAGGACTTGTAAAACGAGTTTCAAGTCAAAATAATGAGAACTGGTGCCAGAAACTGATACTGGCTATGAAAAGCGCGTACCGGAAAGGTGCTCCGAAAAATATAATAAATATATGATAATTCTTGTAAAATTGAGTAGGTTAAGAATCCTGAGTTTGGGATTAAAATGTTAAGCGTAGTTAATTAAGTTAATATTGTGTGTTTAATGCTTAAGTGACCTATAAATACACTTATGAAGGGCACAAAACCCTAGAAAACAGACTTCTATGCGTGGATACCTTGGAGGCTGATCAGTTTGCACTATTTTGGTGTTCTCTTCCCTCTTGTATGAGCCTTGTGACCTTCTACCTTCTTGATACCTCTTCCTAAACACTTGGTCTTGAGGGTGTGAGCCTTGTGAACAGAAAAGTGTCACCTTTCTGAGTTAGAGAACCTGTGTGAACGGGGTTTGAGCTTCTGAGTTTTGTGTTTGAGGGGTGGGAGTCTTTATTTGGTGTTTTGAAGCTTCAATGAGCTTTCTTGTTGAGTAAAAGAGCTACCTTGTGCACCATTTTCGTTTACCTTGGAAGTCAGAACTGTGGGAGCTTCAAGTGAGCTCCAAGAGCATCTCTTTTTGCTGTTTTGAGCTTGTGGTATGATCATCACACTTGAACTTGAGTTTTTATGCTTAAAAATGGAACCTTGATGCTTGTAATGGGCTTAAGATGATAACCTAACATTAGGTAATGTCAAACACACCTAGAAATGCATGTTTAAGTGTCTTTATTCGGTAAAAACCCAACCTTGGAAGGATATCTTCACGAAATGCAAAAACTGCATTTTGTCGTGAAATATCCGGATATCTGATCGTGAAATATCCGGATATTGGATATCCGGATATTGATATCCGGATATGGGGATCTGGATATCTATGTACAGTGAGATATCCGGATATTGGATATCCGGATATGCCCCCGAGGAATATCTGGATATTCTGGGATTTCGTAGAACAGTAGCTGTGCTGTGTGTACAGTACGCTATTGGGGGTTTGTGGACCCTAGATTGATGAAGTTAAACTTCTGTAATTAATGAACTAAGTCAGAATCATGTGATTAAGGGCTTGTGGCTTTGTTAGAAGCCTTAAGACGTAAAACGTAAAGGAAAGACGTTGTCTTTAAGTGTATGCTTGTAGAGTTTGATTAATGATGTATTATTGGTCCATAACAGATTGTGATACTGCTGTGTTTAGGCTTTGAGATGGTGGACTCTTGGCTGGGATAGCTAGCTTGCAAGCTAAGCTTTCGTGTCCTCGGTTTAGCCATGTTGTGGTTCCACCATGTCCCATGGGGGTATGATTATATGCATGCTGTGTTACATACTTTTGATGTTTTAGAAATGCTATTGAGCTGTTATATGCTAGTGCCTTTATGATATGCATGTGGTGTTCCACCTATACGGTAAGCCTGAGTATATAGTACATACAATATGGTGAGGCTGTGGGTGAGGTGCAAGCGATGTTCTTTGTACTATCTGTAGGTAATAGACGTATTCCTGCATTTCTCTGGCCAGTAGAATAGTATTGACACGCATGGCATGAATATCTGTTGCACTGCATTGAGTTTTGGAACTTATACTGAGTTACTGCTTTTAGAACTTATATTGCACATGTAAGTGAGCTTGGGGTGGAAGATCCTTGAGGACCCCTTGTCTTACTGAGATTTCTGGTTTAGAGATCTCACCCCACGTTTGTAGAATGCTTATTTCAGGTTCAGGTAATGCGGGGGTTGAGACCTCTAGTGGTAGGAGGCCAGAGCTTAGTTGATAGACGTTGCATGTTTATGCTGATATGCTGTTATGCTATTATTATTGGATGTGGATCTTGTTTACTGTCTTATGCTTTTAGCTTCAGTTCATTGATTTATATGTTGAAACTTTGTTGGTTATGCTGTTGATTTGGTGAGCATGGGGATTGTCCATGCCACTTAGACTTGATTATGTCTTGTTTTATTTAGAGTTGTATTAATGTATCAGGATATTGTCTGGATTACGTGTTGTAATGTCGTGACTTAGATACTCATTTATATCTATATTTTTAGATATTTCAGTTAGATGTCTTATTGCAATTTATATACAGGAGATATTTTATGAAATTGATTAAGTAATCAACTTGGCTAAGTATAATGACGTCATAATTGAAAAGAAAAAGATTTTCCGCATTTTTAATTAAGCGCAGCTTAATACGATAGTATGATAACATTACCGGGTATACACGGGGTGTTACACTGGTGATGTAAGGATCAAAGGCATCTAATAAAAATTTCCTTGAATTGTTCTGTTTCTGTTCTCTTTCTTATTCTTAGGGTTTTATCCCTAACAATTTGGTGCTTTCATTCTTGAACACCAACATTTTCATGATGCGCGTTCAAGATCTTGCCGAGGAGTTCTCCACTTTCCAGCAACGAGTTGAAGGACGCCTTGCGGATCACCAGATACAAATGACTCGCGTTGAGTCATGACTTGAAGATCACCAAACGCAGATGAATCGAGTTGAGGCTCGGTTGGATGAAAATCAGAACCAGATGACGCTGATGCTTGCGCAATTGCAGTAACTCAATAACAATTTTGTGACGTCAGATCCACGAGTGAATATGAGACCTCGAGAAACTTCTCAACATTCTCTGATTCCTCCACAGTTCTCAGATTCAACGTCGTTGGGTTGCGCACGTTCAGATCTTAATCTCTCCAAGTCCTTCCGTTTAGAAATTCCATTGTTTAATGGCACTGAGCCTAACAATCGGATTTTCAAAACAGAGCTATTTTTTCATCTTCAGCAAATCCAAGAGGAATTCAAGGTTCCATTAGCGGGTTTACGCATGGAAGGCACTGCTGGAGCTTGGTACCAGTGGATGTATCACAGTGGCACAATTTGCTCCTGGGGAGATTTAGTGATAGGCTTGCGTCAAAGGTTTGGAGTTTCTGCCTTTACGAACCTCAAAGGAGTTCTTTCTAAACTCTCTCAGTCAGGTGCTTTACGAGATTATATTAGATATTTTGAAGCTCTATTGAATCAGGTTCCTGGGTTGGATGATGAATTGTATATGAGTTTTTTTGTGTCTGGTCTGACACCAGAACTTAGAAGTGCAGTTCAGCTTCGCACCCCATCCACTCTTCATTTGGCAATGCAAATTGCACTTGCCTATGATGATCACCATTATGAATTTAAAACTTCCTTTTCATCGGGTCAGAGGAGAGGATTTTCAAAACCATTCACACACAGTGAACCTCCACCAGTTCCAACTTCCAATAAACCTGCATTGCCACCTCCAAATGCCAATCAAACTTTGGCATTACCAGCACCCAACATGATGAAGCGTTTATCTCATGAGGAGTTACAGCAGAAGCGTGAGCAAGGCTTGTGTTACTATTGTAATGAGAGGTGGAATGGTAAACACAGATGTAAGAATCGCTTATTACTGTCAATTGGTGAGATTGATGAATCTGATAATGAAGGAGATGAGGAGGATATTGTTTGGAAATCAGACAGGGAGAACCAGACTTTACATGCTATGGGTGATCCTTCTATTGGTCATGCTCTCAGGTTCACGACAGCAATTTCAAAAAAGGAGGTTAGTGTGCTAATTGATTCTGGTAGTACTCAAAATTTTATTCAATTGAAATTAGCTCTTGAATTGAAGTTGTCAATTATTAGAGTTAAAAAACTGCGAGTTTTTTTTGGGCAATGGTGAGTTTCTAATAGCTGACCGTAGGTGTTGTAATGTACCAATTGAGTTACAAGGTATCTTATTCCTTGTAGACTTGTGGTTGCTCGAATTAAGTGAATTGCAGATCATATTTGGTATGCCTTGGTTGGAAAAATTGGGTAGAGTTACTCATGATTACTTGAAGGGCTCAATGGAGTTTATATGGCAAGGTAGAGAAGTGATCCTCACAGGAGTACAAGATGCACAGTTACATACCAGTACAGAACAGGTGAATGTCCTGCATAAGGCTGTGTGTTTTGCAATGTCCCAAAGCACTAATTCTGTTGAGGTGGCCAATCTTGAACTACCTGGAGTTCAAGATCAGATAACAAATGACTTGTGGCAGTTGTTACTTCAATTTCTAGATGTTTTTCAAGTGCCACATGAGTTACCTCCATTCAGAGGTTTAGACCATGCAATCCATCTCATTGACAAGGTTCAGCCAGTAAATGTTAAGCCTTACAGATATGCTTATTGTCAAAAAAACGAGATTGAACAACAAACTACTGCATTACTGACCAATGGCTTTATTCGACATTCTCAAAGTCCTTTCTCATCTCTCGTTTTATTAGTCAAGAAACAGGATGGATCATGGAGAATGTGTATCGATTATAGAGCCCTCAATGCCATTACTATTCGGGATAGGTTTCCTATTCCTACTATAGATGAATTGCTTGATGAGTTGGGAAATGCTTCAGTGTTTACTAAATTGGACTTACGGGCTGGATATCACCAAATACGAGTCCTTCCTGCAGATGTGGAGAAGACTGCATTTTGGACACATGAAGGGCACTACGAATTTCTTGTAATGCCCTTTGGTTTAACAAATTCACCAGCAACTTTTCAAGCTGTCATGAACCAACTCTTCAAACCGTATTTGAGGAAGTTTATAATTGTTTTTTTTTATGACATTTTGGTGTTCAGCAAGTCTATGACTGATCACATTGCTCATTTGCGCATAGCCTTGATGAACTTACAGCAGCACAAATTCTTTGTTAAGGTTTCTAAGTGCAAGTTTAGAGCTTCTTCAATTGATTACTTGGGTCATATTGTGCCCAAGCAAGGAGTACAAGCTGATCCTAAGAAGATAGCTGCCATGGTGAATTGGCCCGAACCTAGATCCTTGAAACAGTTGAGGGGATTTTTGGGCTTAACAGGTTATTATTGCAGATTTGTGCAAGGATATGCATCCTTAGCAGCTCCATTAACTGATCTCGTGAAGGCTAGCAAGGAGTTCCATTGGTCTTGTGCAGCTACTCAGGCTTTCAGTCGACTGAAAGTGGCAATGACTGTAAGAACCCGCACCGTTAATTAAGGAAATTAATCAGTTAATTATGACTTTAATGAGATAATTCCATAATTGACCCTAATAATTATTATAAGGCTCTAATAATTATAATAAGTGAGTAATAATGCTGAAAGTCGTTTTTCTGACGAAAAGTGCAGATACCGGTTCTGCTAGTCGGTATAAATGCGTACCAAAAAAGTATCCCGGAAAATTATAATAAGTACATGATAATTACTAGAATAATATGTAGGACTTGTAAAACGAGTTTCAAGTTAAAATAATGAGAAATTGTGCCAGAAACTGGTACTGGCTATGAAAAGCGCCTACCGGAAAGGTGCTCCGAAAAATATAAGAAAAATATGATAATTCTTGTAAAATTTAGTAGGTTAAGAATCCTGAGTTTGGGATTAAAATGCTAAGCGTAAAAATTAAAGTTAATACTGTGTGTTTATTGCTTAAGTGACTATATATAGAGGGTTGCACACAACCCTAGGCTGATCCTCCAGCCTTGTATGCGTGAGTTGGCTGCTGCCACCTTCCCCTCTCTTGGTCATTTTCGGTTTTACTTAGAAACCTCCAAAGACATCACCTTTCTTCATGATTTCTTCATCTAAACACCTTGGTTGAGTGTGGTTGAGTCTTGGGGTGAATGTTAAGCCTTCTTTTCTGAGTTGAGTGAGCTGCCTTGTGAGGTTAAGGTGCTGAGTCTTCTAAGTTGTGAGGTTGGGGCCTTTGTCTTGTGTGTGGAGGCTCCAAGAAGCTTCCTTTGTGAGGAAAAGGCCAAGCTTTGGTAGCATTTTTCGTGTGCAGTGGAAGTCTGAACCTTGGGAGTGTCAAGTGAGCTCCAAGAGCCTTTTGTTCTGAGTTTGAAGCTTGAGTATGTTGTACCAACCTTTGATTATGAGTTTAATGCTTAAAAATGGAACCTTGATGCATGTAATTAGCTAAGTTGACAACTTTAGAGTGGGTAAGGTTAAACACAGCTAAAAATGCATGTTTAAGCTTCTGTAATCGGTAAAAATGGAACCTTGGAAAGATATCTTCGTGAAATGCAGAAAGTGCATTCTGTCGCGAAATATCTGGATATTGGGTCGATAAATATCCGGATATTGATATCCGGATATGGTATCCGGATATTGATATCCGGATATGGTATCCGGATATTGATATCCGGATATGGTATCCGGATATTGATATCCGGATATGGGGTCTTTGATATCCGAATATGGATATCCGGATATGATATCGGATATCCGGATATGCCCCCGACATATATTCGGATATTCTGGAATTTCAAGGAACAGTAAGGTACTGTTCATACAGAACTGAGCTTTGGGTTTGTGGACCCTATTTTGATGGAGTTGAACTTCTGTAAATACTTAACTAAGTCAGAATCAAGTGATTAAGGGCTTATGGCTTTGTGGGAAGCCTTAAGACGTAAAACGTAAAAGGAAAACGTAGTCTTTATGTTTATGCTACGGAGCTATGAATGTTGATATGCTTGCTGGTTCTAAATCAGATTGTGATCTGCTGTGTTTGGACTTTGAGCTTGTGTGGACTTGACTTGGATTGATTGCTTAAGAGGTAAGCTTTCATGTCCTCGGTTTAGCCATGTTGTGGTTCCACCATGTCCCATGGGGGTATGGTTATATGCATGCTGTGTTACATGCTTTGGATATTTGAAATGCTGTTGAACTTTATGTGTAATGGCTTTTAATATGCATGTGTTGTTCCATCTTGACGGTAAGCCTGAGTATGTGGTGTCATACAAGACGGTGATCCGGGGTGGATGCAAGTAGCGTCTTGCACTATTTGTGGGTATTAGACGTATATAAATCCTGCATTTCTTTGGCCAGTAGAATAGAATTGATACACATGACATGATTATCTGCTGCATTGCACTATTTTAGAACTGATGATGATAAACAGCTTTTGAACTTATATTGCACATGTAAGTGAGCTTGGGGTGGAAGATCCTTGAGGACCCCTTGCCTTACTGAGTTTCTATTTTAGAGATCTCACCCCACGTTTGGGGAATGCTTATTTCAGGTTCAGGTAGTATGGGGACTGATGCCTCTGGCGGCAGGAGGCCATAGCTTAGTTGATGATTATTGCTGTTATATGTTATATGCTGGCATGTCTAGATTGGATGTTGTTTATATTTTCCGCCTTTATCATTATGTTGTTGTTGAGTTGAGACTTATGTTGGGCTTTGTTGCCTTATTTGGGTGAACATGGGAGTTGTCCATGCCACTATGTTGTTAGTAATTTTGAGTTGAGTTGTATAAACTGCTAGTTGAATCGGTCTACGTGTTGTAGTTCCGTGTCTAGAGACATACTTATGTTATTTAATTATTGAGGTATTCCAGTTAGCTGTTTATTGCAATATACATACAGACGATGTTTTGAAAATGGTTAAGTAATCAAGTTGGTAATGATTAATGACATTATAATTGAAAATAAAAAGATATTCCGCAATTTTAATTAAGCGCAGCTTAATACGATAGTATGATAATATTACCGGATATATACGGGGTGTTACAATGACCAACACTCCTGTATTGGTTTTACCCGATTTTCGGTCCCTTTTGTCATTGAAACTGATGCTTCAAACACTGGGGTAGGGGCTGTTCTTTTACAACATGAGAGACATCTTGCATTTTTTAGCAAGAAATTGGGAAGCAGGATGGCCAATGCATCTACGTACGGGAACTCTATGCTATAACAGTGGTAGTTAAACGGTTGCGCCAATATCTCCTTGGAACCTTCTTTACTATAAGAACAGACCACAGGAGTATTAAGGAATTGCTTAATCAAACCATCCAGACTACAGAATAGCAGAAATATCTGTGTAAATTGATGGGGTATGCATTCCGTATTGAATATAAGGCAGGCAACTCCAATATAGTCGCTGATGCATTCTAGGTGTCATAAAGAGGCCTCAGTCAATGCTTTGTTTTCTGAACCAGTATTCGAAGTTTTAGAGCAAATTCGAGAACAGAATGTGAGTGATCCATATCTCATACATTGTCACCAACAGGTGAAGGATGACCCAAATGTAGTGACCTTTTTGACAGTAAGAGAGGGCATTGTGTATCATAAGAACAGATTCCTCCTAAGTCCTAAATCTTCTCTAATTCCTAGTTTAATTCGAGAAGCACATGCATCCCCTGTGGGCGGTCATGCTGGAATAACACGCACCTTTCTGCGTATTTCAGCTAATTTTTTTTGGACCAGTATGAGGGAGGATGTGAAACAATTTATTAAGGGATGCTCCACTTGTCAATAAGTCAAGTATGAGACCACTAAACCAGCAGGCTTACTTCAATCTTTACCCATTCCAGAAGGCATCTTTGAGGATCTGTCTATGGATTTCATAATGGGTTTACCACCTTCTAGTGGGAGTTGCACGATTTTAGTGGTTGTTGATAGGCTATCCAAATTTGCCTATTTTGGAAAGCTTCCCCGTTCTTATACATCAGCAGTGGTGGCTCAATTGTTTTGTGATTTAGTTGTCATAAATCACGGTTTTCCTTGCTCCTATTGACTGATCGTGATCCAATATTTGTCAGCCAGTTTTGGTCCCAATTGTTTAAACAGAGTGGAACCAAATTGCGTACCACTTCCTCTTATCATCCACAATCCGATGGACAGACGAAGGTCACCAATAGATATCTCGAATAGTATCTGAGGGCCTTCTGTCATGAACAACCCTTGCATTGGTCACGATTCATTAGCTGGGCTCAGCTCCATTATAACTCATCAGTTCATTCAGCTATTGGCATGACCCCATATGAAGCTGTATATGGCAAGCCTCCTACACTGATTCCTCATTATCCACGGCGACTGTTGAAGGTAGAAGCTGTAGACTCCATTTTGATTCAACGAAATGAAGTCTTGTCATGTTTGAAAGCTCATTTACAGAGAGCTCGCAATCGAATGAAGGTCCAGGCAGACAAAAATAGTCGAGACCGCACGTTCAATGTGGGGGACTTAGTCTGGCTGTGTTTACAACCTTATAGACAGGTTTTTGTCTTCCATAGAGCAAATCATAAGTTGGCTGCTAGGTTCTTTGGACCTTTTCCAATTGAACAAAAGTTAAGTGATGTTGCCTACAAGCTGGAATTACCACCTGGTAGTCAAATACATCCCACTTTTCATGTTTCATTATTGAAGCCTTTTGTCCATTCAGAAAGTTCTGCAGCAGCAACTATACCTCTTCCATTGGTGGCCATTGAGAATAGGCCATTACAAGAAACGCTCGCAGTGGTAGCCAAGCGCTTGACTCAATCCACTGGAGAGCCCCATTACCAATTTTTGGTCCAATGGACTCATTCCGTGCTTGAAGATTCTACTTAAGAGAATGAAGAAGACCTTAGAAAGTGTTATCCTACCTTGAACCTTGAGGACAAGGTTCTGTACGAAGGAAAAGGCATTTTTACGAAGATGAGCTCCACACGTGTAAAGAGTTATCCCACTAAACTCAATGATTACGTGGCATAGCAGTTGGGCAGTTATGAGGTAGTTGAGTCACTGTAGGAGTTAGTTAATAAACAACAGTGTAATAGTTAGTTAACTGAATGTATAAAAGCTGGTGATGTAAGGATCAAAGGCATCTAATAAAAATTTCCTTGAATTGTTCTGTTTCTGTTCTCTTTCTTATTCTTAGGGTTCTATCCCTAACAGATACGGATAGTGCCTTACCGGATTTTGGTCACCACCACTTCGCTCCGCAACCACCACACCATCTTGCCACCGTGCATGCCACCTCATCACTGTGAAAAAGAATAAATCTTTGGTGCTACTGTTGCACCAAAGATTCAGTGCATCCCACTAATAGGAACATTACATGTCAGTTAAAATTCTCTTTTCTCTGCCAAATTCTTTCTCTCTCCTCTGATGTGTAATGCTTTTCCCACTAAGATTTATTCTTCTGCGTTGTATCTTTTCCCACTACGTCGTCCACGTCACTGTTGTTGCAAGTCGTTCTCTGCCCATGCCGTTTAGTAAGGCTGTGCATGGGTCAGGTTTTTGTGCCGACTCGACCCAACTTGGTTTTTGTAGGTCAGGTATTTTGACCCGACCCGCTTTAATTTGATCCAAGTCAGGTCTGACTTGGTTTGGATTTTTTGAACTAGTTCAGAACCGGGTCGGGTCTGACCTGACTTGGTTTCTGAAGTGGGCCTGACCTATTTTTGACTTGGTTTCGTCACAAAATTTTGTCGAAATTTCTACGTTGCAAACGACAAAAATTTTGTCACAAAAATATTTTTTCGTCGGAATACTTTTTTGTCGAAAAGCGACGAAATTTTTTCTCTAATGAAAATTTTTACAAAAATAAATTTTCTATTGGAATTTAGTTTCCGTCAAAAGTTTTGACGAAAATGATTTCCTCCATCAAATGTTTTAAACAAAAAAAGAATTCAGTCAAAAATTTTGACGAAATGTTTTTCGTTCAAAATTTTGATGGGAATATGGTCTGACGAAACTTTTGACGGAAATTGTTTTGAGGAAAATGTTTCAATTGAAACTTTCGACGAAATTTAGATTCTCTAAAGAATTTTTGACAGAATATTTTTTCCGTCAAAATTTTTTATCGAGATATTTTTTTGTCAAAAAAGTTTACGAAAATTTTTGACAAAAATGTGTTCCGTTGAAAATTTTGATGGAAATATTTTTTATCAAAAAATTTGACGAAAATATTTAGTCAAAAATTTTCGAAGAAAATGTGTTTAGCTTAAAATTTTGAGGAAATTTTTTTTTTTGTCAAAATGTTTAGCGAAAATATTGTCGTCGAAAAAATTTCGCCGAATTTTGAATTATGTAAAGAATTTTGATGAAATCTTTTTCCGTCAAAAAATTTCTATGGAAATGTGTTTCGTTGAAATTTTTGATGAATATGTTTTTTTGTGAAATATTTTGACGAAATTTAGATTCCGCAAAAAAATTTGACAAAAAATTTTTTCCGTCAAATTTTTTTACAGAAATGTTTTTAGTCACAAATTTTGATGAAAATATTTTTCGTCAAAATTTTTTGCGAAAATTTTTGATGGAAATATTTTTCGTAAAAAATTTTGACGTAATTGTTTTATGTTAAAAATTTTCTTTTAATGTATTTGTGATTTTCTTTTTCTTTTTTTCACATAATGGGTATGAGTCAAATTTTGGGTCAATGGGTCATTATTAAAACAAGTCAGGTCTAAAACTGACCCAAATAAAACTTGGTCAGTATTTAAACCAGTTCAAAAAAAATAGATATTTATGGGTCGGGTCAAGGTCAGATCAAGGGCAGGGCAAGTGAACCGGTTTTTTGCACACCCCTACCCTTTAGCCTTACCATTCTTCTTTTAGCCGGTTTGGTAGAAAGATTTTTCGAGGATTCCGAAAAATTGAAGGTGATAATTTTATTTATCTATGTTTGGCATAAGATTTTTAAATTTTCACAAAAATCTAATGTTTTCGAAATTTTATTTTGTGTCTAAATTCTTTTGAAAATTTCATCCAAGAATACCACCCCACGAGGTGGTATTCTAAGATTTCTATGATAAAGAAAATTTTAATATAAACAAATATAGTATTCTGAAATATTTTAGCTTATCAAATAACTTTATTTCTAAAAATCGTAATTTCTAGTTAAATTTTTTTTTTCCTCTACCAAACATCCTCTTTGATTTTCTTTTCTCTTAGCTATTGACCCATGACCCATCAAATCTCTACTGGGCTGCAAAATGTTCTTTTTTATTTTTAATTTTTTTATATGGGCTGCTATTTCTTTAGTTGGGCCTTTAGTAGATAGATAATAGAATCAGTAAAAGTTATAAAAATTAATATGTATCTCTCAAAAAATAAAAAATAAAAAGATTTGTTACTGTATTTTTTTTAATATTATGTTGTGCAAACAATCTTCTTGGACTGTTACCCCAACTGAAACTAGGTAATTATCATCTTTAATATAAAATTGTGTGCATAATTATTTGTGAAATATACTTTATATTAAAAATATTATTTTATATTAAGACAAATCGCAACTTATCAAAATATTAGTGTTTTTGAAATAACGTATTGATGTCCCGTATCGGGAATGTATCGCGTGTCAAAATTGGTGTTTGTAAAGTACCAATTCAACTCAAAAGCTTATGTTGTTAAGTGAAAGCCTCTTTCATAGTTTATATTATACTCCGATACGTCTCCTCACAAGAGACCTCATTGGATTTGAAAGGTGGATGATGATGCATCATGCACCTGTCCTAAGAAATCCCACAAAGAAAATGAGGAGCGGCATCGAACTCGGGATCGAACTCGGGACCTCGGATAATAAAGAACCAATTCAACTCAAAAGTTTAAACGATTAGGTGAAAGCATTTTTAATGATTTATATTATGTTTGATAGATGAGAAGCACTTGATAATGGATATATTCTCCTAACCACTTACCAACCAAACGAATCCCGTTGTTTTTGTTAATTAAAATATTATATTATTACATCTTTGCGTGAACAAGCAAACAATTGGATTCCCTTTCTTACATCTATATATTGTAGGCTTAGTATTGGATAGCCTTAAAACATTAAGGCTATCCAATACTAAAACACTAGGATAGCAATTCAAGAGTAATTGAAGGATGTCATCAAGTCAATTGATCAGGCAACTCCTCGCGCTTGCGGAGGCTCAGGAAGCAGCCAAAGGGTCCAATAACAATGGTACTCTAAACGCATTCAACAACCATGGCAACGGGGACCAAAAGTTCTCTGGTGCAAAGATTAACAGTGGTGCATATTCGGGCGACCGGAACAAGCGTCGCACCACAAACAACTATGGTGAACGCACTATAAACAACAGTGGTACTTTCCATGGTAATGGCAATGGGGCCTTTATCGATGGTGACTTTGACGCCTCAACTAGGAACTACAATCATTAATTAAGTATTTGTATTTTATATTGCTGCGTAATATGATCTACTATATTATGTTATACTGCTAATAATGAAGAGGAGCAGCACCTCTAGTGGTTTGTAATATGAGTAATGATATGAGAGGAGGTAATACCATACCTCTGTTATAATAAATCTCAAGTTTAGTTGTTCTGATAATTAATACGGTTCAAGTTCTTCAAGGTTTCCCCACTACCACGGAGAGGAGATGAAAAATTAGAACATTACAGAAAATAATCATTGAGAATAGGTCTCTTTGAATAAGTTTGCCTTGGCTCCTATGAAGCAGTGTACTTTCTCTTGACTTATATAGCTTACTATTTTTTTTTTATTTTTTTTTTATAACAATAGCTTACTATTTTGGAATACGTAATTGCAAGTTTTTCTATTTTGTGTGTCCAGTACCACGCGGGCACGTCATTATCTCAGAATTTATGGCAAATTCCACTCTTAGGGGTTAGTCTATTGGAGGGTCGACTAGGCTTTATGTTATTGAGAGCATTGTCTCAGAATTTTTCTTGCGTGGAAAATTCTCCCGTTAATTATTTTGCAAGGAGACAATATAAAGGCAAATCAATTACTAAACCACTTTAAGTTAAAGACGTTATCGAATAGATATGATGGAGCCCCTATTGCCCTTGCTAAATATTTCATTACTTAATCTCCTCAAGATCTCTGTTAATTCAGATGTTAATTGACTTAATTAATTTCCTTTGAAACAATTCTAAATAGCTGAAGTTAAATGAGTAAGGGGACAAAATTGAACCAATAAACTAAAAGATTTCAGTTGAGTGGTAGTTCTTGAATTGTATTTTGTGACAAAGTGAGTATATAGTGGAGACAAGTACTTATTATATATGGTTTATGTTTTTAAATTTGTTTTGAAGGAACGACTTCTTCGAAACTCTGTAAAGTAATTGCAATACATGTTAGCATTAGTGTATTAAGACTTATTTTGCAAGCAAGGAATCTAACATTAGGTGGGGAGCTTGAATTCTTATATTTTCAACAAGATGGAAGTGAGCCATTGTGATCACATTACATTTTACATGTGAGGAGTTTGAGTTTCACATGTTATAGTTATATCTGAATATACTCCTACTTGAAATTCTTATAAAACTATTGCACTTCGTTAATAAGAGCAACCAAATATTTAGAATTGAATTTCTTGTTTTAGTCAGAAAGGAAGAGAGTGTGCGTAGCATTTTAGAAACCTCCTTTTATTTTGTGTCACTGTATTTTGGATTAAAGCCTGTTTGATGGGCTTCAAAAAAAGTATTTTTTATGTCTTGTTTTTAGAAGCGTTTTTTATAAAAATTAAAATTTTTTAAAAAAATATTTGACTTTTGACTTTTACTTTTTTTAGAAATTAAAATTTTTAATTTTCAAATAAAGCAGATTTTTGACTTTTTTTATAACTTGTATTTTTTTTAAAAGTAGGCATCCAAACAAAATTTTTTTAAGAAATACTTTTTTTTTATTTTAATAAAAGCAGCTTTTTGAGGGAGAGAAACTCACCCAAACGAAGCGGGAGAAAAGTTTTTGTAGTTTCCTTGTGACATAAATCTTTAATTCATGATTATTATTATTTCTGTGTTGAACCCTAAGATTTAATTCACCCTCTCTTAATTTTACTGGCCGTTACATATTTTATTTTTAAATAATATATAAATAACAAAGTTAGAATATAAAATTAGGATTTAATATTTCTCGGTTCACACCATATAAGTTATCTCATCCCAAAACAACCTCATTTGATAAGAAGAGAATGATATTTTTATAATTGTAATTTATTCTGAAACTATATTAATATTTATAATTATAATTTTTTTCATAACCAAAAAGACGTTGATTTGGGTAACATATAAACTTTGCATAAAACTGGTCAAAGATATTGCAACGCAGCTCCCCTTGTGTTGCTATACAATGACATGGCATGTGCATGCAGCACCAAATATGGATATATATATATGTACTCCCCTTTTCCTTCCTATCAAACGAATCCATGCTATTCAAAGTTGGTTGGCTAAAATATTATAGCTTCCCTGACCAAGCAAAGCACCGGATTCCCTTCGATGCATCTACAAATTTTAGGCTTTGTTACCAGTTATAATATTCGGTTCGCTTTTTCTGTTTATCCGTATTAAGTCTAATATACGAAGTTGTTTTGGGAAGAAAATTATGGTGTTTTTGTAATTTTAATTTATTTCTGATTATTATAGTCTTTATAATTATAATTAGAGAAAAGTATTTTTCCAGCCACCGGAGATAAAGTTATCTCTAATGAGCTCAAAACGACGTCGTTTTGGGTTATAAGATTAAAAAATTATAATGATAAAGACTAATATAACTCTGTAATATATTATAATTATAAAAATATCTTGATTTTATTTCCAAAACGACGTCGTTTTAATCTCATTGGAGATAACTTTATCTCCGATGACTAGAGAAATCATTTACCCTTATAATTATTTAATTTTTTAATCTAAAACAATGTCATTTTGAAGGTGATTGTAGATAATTTATCTGCAATAACGTATTATTAGGTATAAAAATTATGCTAAAACGATAAAGAAATAAATATCTTCCGGATATAATTACGCATATGATATGATGGGAACAAATTGAAGGTCCCAAAGCAAAACCCGTATACACGCGCACTTGAAGACTCATTCCATGACTGGTTATGGCTCTGGTCTAACCTCAATATTTACGAAACTTTCCTTGTATGAAATATAGCCATATACACATCCATTATCCATAAATACAATGGGAAGCAGTTACAGTAGTCACACTAACCTTGGCAGCGATTGTGCTTCTTTTGATGCTGGCGCCACTGGTACCAGAGCACGCTGGGGAGATTCTTTTGAGGTTTCCATGTGCAACGACTTCAAGGAAAATGATCATACAGAATTTTGGGGCGTGACTTACACAGCAGGTCAGAAGAAGCATAATTGTGGTTTTCAACTGAGGGCAACCCGTGACATCAATGGTGTTCAAAGCATATATTTTGGTATAAGAGACTCTGCTGATAATAGTGCTGAGTTTTCTTTGGAGATAACAAGGGTTGGACGTGATGGTCTCAGTGGTGGGATAATAGGTATCCGTTCTTGTGGAGCTCCTAAGTCCTTTACAAGGGCCAAAAATGATTATTCAATAGAGACTACTATTGTTTCATACGGTAATTGTTCGCACAGAGAAGGTCTTTTTGTTCTCGAAAAGAAAAAAAAGGTTAACTCTGACAATGCTTACATGGTTACTTTGGCACATTATTATGTAAACAAAGAGTTAGCTCTTTCTGTTGTGGCCAAAATTCGTCGCAAAAAAGAGAACGGTTTTGATGTTGAAGTTGAGGGTCCTTTCAAACACCCTAGTGCCGATCTTCTTAAGGTTCTTGTTAAAACCTGCCGAACCGGTATATGGTCACCCGCCGCGTGTTCTCACTGTAATGGAGCAAAGGCTAACACCGTTACCAGAACTGGAGAACCCAATTCATCATTGAAGCCTCAATCTCATAACCAGAGTCATGACCATGAAGTAAGTCAAATCGTTAAACATGAAATCTTTTCGAGCAATGTCAGAGAGCAACACAACATGGGCCTTATCAATTCAAGTGGATACACGTCTGGTTCTCTAAATAATTCTATTATCTGTATAAAGTGCAACCTCACGCTGTAAAGCTCCTTAGGATTGCATTTGCAAAGAGCCTGATTACAACAAACACAATTGTTGTGCATCAACCTCTCAATCTAATTTTTAAATTCATAATTGGAAATTATGAGGAAGTATTTTACTTTTCTGTGCTTAGGGTTCAAATAAAAGTTGGGAAACACCCACTTGTTACTAATCAAAGCTTAATGTGGGAATATATTTTTATCCATGTATAATAGAATGGAGGTTTAAATTTAAGATAAGAGCTCCTGTCAAATACACAAATTTCTTTTAATCTCTGCGCTCACGCTTAATAGCTTTATTAGTACCTAATAAATGTGCCAGAATTAATCCGTAAATTATATGGAATATTGGAGATCATGTTAAGCAAGGTCTTCCCCCATTTCTTTTCAGATTCAGATATAGGCAGCTATGAATAAGGCAAACTCAAGATGAAAAAGTTTAAAAGGTCTATATATCTCCTAAACCTAATATAGCATCATTTTTGTATAATTTTTGTAAGTAGAAGCAAGGAACCTAGCCGCAAATATGATTACTTTACATAATAACTCTCCCATTACTGGTTATTAAATAATGGCCTACACTTTACCAATAGCCACACTTTATCCAAAAAAATAACAGATCATATTATCAGTTTATTTTTATAAAAACAAAATTAACAATTAATGATAGCCCACAAAAGAAATTTTTAACAAAATGAGCTTAATATCTTATACATATAAGCTTAATAGTTTATTCTCCAAAAAAAAAAATAAGCTTAATAGTTTTAGTCTTGTAATTTTGTTTTGTTTTGTGTTTTACTATTTTTTAACTTTGGTTTTTTTATTTTTATTTTTTAAATAACTCGGCTGTTTAACTCGGAAATCTATCCCTTTACTGAAATCAGTTTCCAACATGTACAAAATCCTTTGCAAAAATTTAGTGACCGTAACGCTTGCAAAATCTGTCATATACTACTGAACACCTTTAAGAATGGGAGAGCCGTTGCGTGCTGATTTCATGCGGTGTTTAAAAATCCGGCCTAGCCATCGACCCGGCTGAGGTCAGAGGTCACGGGTTTAACCGGGGAGTCCGGGTTACTATGCTGACCCGATTTTATATATTAAAAAAATATAAATAGATATATCCTATATGAAAATATTAAAAAACAAATCACCAATCATCAAAGATTCAAAATATACTTAACATAATTCACCAATTACAACCATAAGTCAATATTATACAACCTAATTAAAGTATCAAGATACCAAAGTACAAAACTCATATTCTAATGGGGTCACTACACTGACCCGGTTCTGCCTCTTTTGAGAAGTTCTCTGACAAAGGAAAATTTAAAGGAAGTAAGAATGAGTTTTTGTTTTCCATCGACAATCGTAAGGATTTCATTTGAAGGGGTAAGATTCTTACCTTTTCTAGAAGATTCACGGTAGTGAGGTGAAGATTGAAAACATTTAGGTAACTAGGAGAGAAGAGAACAATTACATTTAGGTTTTCAAGTATTTTTATTTATTTTTTTAATAAAACAATGTTGTTTCATGAATTTTTTTTTTTTTTTAAATGCAATGACCCCCTTTGACCCTCTGACCTGAGAGTCACTGAAACCAGGCTGGGTTTTGGGGGTCGGAGGGATCATTATGCATATAGGGTCTAACATGTAACTCCAACCTCAAAGGGGAGGGGTTAGGGTTGACCGGGTCAATCCGGAGGATGGGACGGGATTTTAAAACACTAATTTTATGTTGTTTGTGGCTTTAAGAGGAAAGATTCATTTATTCGAGACTTGTAATTCAAAGCTTTCGCTTATCTTCTTGTGTGGTAGCCTTTGCTAGTATTGTTTAAGGGGAAGATGCTGCTGAATGCTGGACCGCACAAAAAATCACTTTCTTATCTGCAAAGTCGAATAAATAATGGATATGTTTGCCTCATGTTGTAGCAGAAAATATATTCTTCCTAGAAATATATTAAAAGTTGAATCAGCTATATTATTATTATTTTTTTAAAAACAGTAGGCTTCACACCTGGGTTCTTTGCAGTATTAGATAACAAATATCTCGTAACACGAGACTTGTATTTTCTATAAATAATTTAATTTGAGTGTCTAAAATAATTTTATAATTTTTTATGTTTATATTTTAATTAATTATGATACTAGATCACATTAAAACTTCTTATAAGCTTATATGCAATTATAATAATTTTATAATTAATCATATCACCTTTTTCAAAGAGGTATTTTGAAAAAAATTAACTTTTCTTTTTCTTTTTATAATCATTGTTATCTCTTATGTCTTAAATTTGAAGATAACATAAATGAGAAATTCGTCTTAGATTAATCAAAATTTTAAGAGCATAAATTTCTATGTAGTTCGGATTTTTTTATTATGTTAAAGTCTAAATAGAGTAGTGTGTGTATATTTTATAAATCAAGAAAGAAAGGCTATTTTAATAGTTTATGTAAACAGGGGTTCGGGGAATTTACTAAATACTAGGAAAAATTTACAATTTATTAGAAAAATATTACTACTCTGCTATGATGAATTAAAAACAAAAATTGCTACATATCTTCCAAGAGTCGCAGATTAGGGACTTTTTTTATTTCTTTTACTATTTAAAAAAAAAATTATGATATTATTTCTTAAAATACATCCAACAACCTAAACTTGTTAGAGAAATATAATCAAAAACCTTTAACATATCGTTATCTAATAACTTAAGTTTTTGGATTAAATTGATTCTTTAGAACTTTCTTATGGGATCCTATTTTATTTATAAATAATTAAATATTATAAAATTTCTTAAAATAGACATGACCTGATGACTTTTGAGTTGAATGGTTATCCATAAAAGTGAGCATATATCTATAGAGTCAAATCACGCAGGTCCGATTTTATTGTAGTAAGATGTTCTTAGTTGGATTCAATTTTAAGACATTGAACAAGCATCGATGCAATTTCCTATCCATTATTGACTGCTCGATTTCCTTGATTATATTCTAATCATCCATTTTGAACGACGTAACTCCTTGCCTTCTTGGGCATCAGATCAATCTTTAATATATATAACATAATGTCACCCCGCATTAACAAATAATAATAATAATAATAATAATAATAATAATAATAATAATAATAATAAAAGATTATACTATACAAAGGTTCATTTAAAGCTTTTATTTTTTTGAAAAACATTGAGAATCAAATACAGCACCTATTACCTACTACTCCCCCTCTCACTACTAGGCTAGAATAATATTATGTCATTCTAAATAAAATGGTAGTGTTTTACTTAATATGTAAATTAAAAAAAATTCCATCAATAACATCTCCTTATCCTCCACCATTATCTTCCGTGGTCTAACAAGTCTCTCTCACTATAAAAATATAATCATATTTTTTAAAATGACACAACGTCCTGTCTTTTAAAAAGGATAAATTATTTTCTCTTTATATATAATTACGTAAATAAAAAATTTAAGTGAAGATTGACAGGAAGCAAGTTGGGAGGTTATATTTTAGGAAGATGCGGAATATTTCCGAAAAAAATATATATATATTTTAGGAAGATGCTTATTAGTTGGATTCGATTTTATCACATTAATCAAGCATCGATGCAATGTCCCCATTCAGTGCTTACATTCCTTGATTCCATTCTATTAAGAATAAGGCCTTTTCTATCTCTTCGAATCCCCTTTACTGCTTGCCTTCTTTGGCATCAGATTCTTCAATATTTTACTATAGTATAGATGCCACACACACATTAACCACACACACACAAAAAAAAAAATACCAAGGTTCTTTGAATTGAAGATTACAGAAAAGGAATGATGCAGCAACAAAACGATAATTTATGATATAATTTGTGCCCGATATAATTATGTATATAATAAAGTGGGAACAAATTGAAGGTCCCAAAGAAAACCTAGTATTCACAAACTTGGAGACTTTTTCCAGGACTGGTTATGGCTCTAATCTAAACCTCAATATATATTTTACCAAACCTTCCTTATATATATAAATAATATAGCCATTTACACATACATATATATTCAATGGGAATCAGTTACAGTACTCACGACTTTCGCAGCAGTTGTACTTCTTTTGAAGAAGGCGCCACTGGTTCTACAGAATCAAAATGGGGACTAGGTTTTAGTACTAATCTGGTTTTCATGGAAAAAGCAAAGAAAAACCTTGATAAAGATGTTTGGAAGTTGAATTACGACACTTGTACGTATTCTACCATCCGTAATTGTTTGGAAGTTGGTGTTGACAGCGTAAGTTTCTCTTTATATGACTGCGCTTATTATTTTAAAAAAACTAATATTTTTGTGAACTTCACAAGGATTGGAAGTGAATATGGTCTTCGAGGAGGGATAACAAGCTTCAAAACATCCGGGACCCACAAGTCCTTTATAAGGGTTGAACGAGATTACTTAATAGAGACCACTATTGTTTATTACGGAGTTTTCGAAATTAAAAGTCTTTTTGTTCTCGAAAAGAAGAAAAATGTTAACTCAGAAAATGCTTGTGTGGTGACTCTGGCACACTATTATAGCTCCATACATGAATTCTCAGGTATTTTTGCCGTGGCCGAAATTCGTTGCAATGAAGGTAGCAGCGGTTTTGATGTTGAAGTGAAGGGTCCTTACCAAGGCAGGACAGGTGAACTGCGTAAGGTTCGTGAAGAAACCATTCGCACGGGTATATGGTCGCATGGTAGGGAAAAGGCTGGCACTGTTACTAAAATTCGAGATTCCAATTCATCGTTGAAGCCTCAATCTCATTACCAGAGTGACGATATCGATAAAGTACGTCAAAACGTTAAACAGGCTTTCTTTTCGAGCGATGTCAAAGAGCAATCCAACAAAGGCCTTATCAATTCGACTGGATACACTGCAGGTTCTCTAAATAATTCTATCATATTTAAAGATTGTAAATTTTAACTTCTTAATTTGAAATATATGTAAGGTGGAAGTATTTTAATTTTCTGTACTTAGGGTTCAAATCAAAGGTGGGAAACACCCGCTTGTTACTAAGTAGTGATCACAAGACAAAACTTTGTTAGTTTAGGGACATTTGGTATAGGAAAAAAAAAAATTTATTGGAAACTTTTTTTACCAAGTTACGAAAAGATTAGGCCAAAAAATTTTCCGACAAACTTGTGTTAATTTTTACTAACTATGTAATTGGTTGATCACAAAAAATGATGGGAATCTTATCTAAAATTACCAAAATATCCATAAATTTAAATATTTGTTGAATTTATCCTGTAATCAAACGTTATAATTTACCTCTGCAGTATCCAATTACAGGCTTTAGACCCACTGCATGCACGAGTTGGCTTGTCGTACCAAGCATTCATTCTAATTTTCATAATTAAATATTATCCTCAACATAAAGAGTGAAGACCTTCACATCTGTAAAAAAAGATTACACATCTGGAAAAAAAGCTTTTGGTTCAGACGAAATGTGTAAGAACCCGCACCGTTAATTAAGGAATTTAATTAATTAATTATGATAAATTAGAAAATAATTCCATAATTAATCCTAATATTTATGATAAGCTTAAATAATTATGGTAAGTGAGTAATGATGTTGAAAGTCGCTTTTCTGACAGTTCTGTCACTCGATATAAATGTGTACCGATGAAATATCCCAGAAAATTATAATAAGTGCATGAATATTCCTAGAATAATATGTAGGACTGTGATTTCAAGTTTCAAGTTAAAATAATGAGAACTGGTGCCAGAACTGATACTTGCTATGGAAAAGCGCGTATCGGAAAGGTGCTGCGAAAAATATAATAAAAAAATGATAAATCTTAGAATAATGAGTAGGTTCAGAATCCAAAGTTTCGGATTAAAACGCTAAGCGTAGCAATTAGCGCTAATACTGTGTGTTTAATTCTTAAGTGACTATAAATACAACTTTTGGCACATAACCCTAGGCCGTATTGGCTTCCTACGTGAGTCTTTAGCAGCTGAGTGTCTCTCTTCTTTTCATCTTCACCTTCCCTCACTCTTTTGAACCAAAGGTGCCTCTGGTTGTGTGTGTGGAGGTGCTGAGTTTAAGAGTTGGTTTGAGCGAGCTTGGTTCTTTCATTGAGATCTCCAAGGGGTGATCTTTGGTACAAAGAACCAACCTTTGATCACCATTTTCGTGCACCTTGTAGTCAGAATCGTTGGAGCTGGTTGGTGAGCTCTAAGAGCAACCTTTTTCTGAGTTTGAGCCTTGGATAAGTGTTACCAACCTTGATCATGAGTTTACTTGGTGTAAAGGTGAATTCTGGCATGTTAATGAGTTAAACAAGTTCGTAATCTGTATGTGAACTTTAAAGAGAATAAAAATGCATGCTTGGACGTTTTAATGGGTTAAAAACCCAACCTTTGGAGAGATATCTCGCGAAATGCAGAAACTGCATTCTGTCGCGAAATATCTAGATATGGTATCCGGATATGGGGTCTTGTGATATCCGAATATGGATATCCAGATATGATATTCGGATATGGGATATCCGGATATGTCCCGACAAATATCCGGATATTCTGGGAATTTCAAGACAGTGTCTGTACTGTTCATACAGAACTGTGTAATGGGTTTGTGGACCCTAGATTTAGGAAGTGGGACTTTTGTAATAATTAATCTAAGTCGGAATCTAAGTGATTAAGGGCTTGTGGCTTTGTGAGAAGCCTAAAGAGATGGAACGTAAAGGAAAGGCGTTGCCTTTATATTGTATGCTTGTAGAGTATGATTATTGATATGTTAATTGGTCCATAACAGATTGTGATTCTGCTGTGTTTGGACTTTGAGCTTGTGTGAACTCTTGGCATTGGATAGTTAGCTTGCAAGGTAAGCTTTCGTGTCCTCGTTTTAGCCATTGTTGGTTCCACCATACCCCATGGGGGAATGGTTTATATGCATGTTTTGTTACTTGTTTTGATATTTGAAATAATTTTGAGCTGTTAAGTGAAAATGCTTATGATATGTATGTAGTGTTCACCCGATGGGATGTGATCCTAAGGGTAGGTACGGCATGGGCGCGTACTGTGTGGGTAATAGACGTATTCCTACATTTCTTTGGCCAATAGATTATTTATGACACACATGACATGATTATTTGTATTTTTCATTGATTTGGAAATAATATTGTTAAACTGCTTTTGGAACTTATATTGCACATGTAAGTGAGCTTGGGGTGGAAGATCCTTGAGGACCCCTTGTCTTACTGAGATTTCTTGTTTAGAGATCTCACCCCACGTTTGGGGACGCTTATTTCAGGTTCAGGTAACTTGGGGGCTGATGCCTCTGGCGGCAGGAGGCCATAGCTTAGTTGATTATATATGTTGTATGCTGACATGACTGGATATTGGATGCTGTTTATGTTTTCTGCCATTATTATGATGTTTGAGTTGAGACTCTTGTTGGACTTGTTGTCTTGTTTGGTGAGCATGGGGTTTGTCCATGCCGCTTTGATGTTAGCACTTTTCAGCTTGAGTTGTATAAACTATCAGGTTTGTCCGCTCTACATGTTGTAGTTCCGTAACTAGAGACATATTTATGTTATTTATATATTGAGGAATTTCAGTTAGCTGTCTTTGCAATATACATACAGGCGATGTTTTGAAAATGATTTAAGTAATCAAGTTGGTAATGAATAATGACGTCATAATTGAAAAGAAAAAGATATTCAACATTTTTAATTAAGTGCAGCTTAATACGATGATATGATAACAATCCGGATATAAACAGGGTGTTACATTTTATGGTATCAGATTCTGGTTCTAGGGAAAAACCTGTATGTATTGCAATAACTAGGATGCTTGGTTGTGTCTTGTCTTGTGTGTTTGCTCCGTTGAGTGTTATTATGATGATGCATATGTGATCACATTGCGTGGGCCCGATCAACTCATAATTTGTGTAACTTGTGCAGAGTCATGATAATACCCAGGAGAACTCGCGAGACTGCTGAGGGTCAACCCGACCCAATCCTGACTGCATTGGTTGAGATGCAGGAGGCCACTATATTGGCCAACGGGGCAATGATGGGCGTCGTTCGAGAGGCGAACCAGAAGGCCACATAGGATGCCTTGAGGCGAATCGGCTGGCGAACATGACCATAATGAGGGTCATGCTGGAGGAGATGAGGGTCGGTCCTGCTGTTGGCCAGTATCGTCCGCCACCACCTCCACCACCGCCGCCTCCACCTAGTGTTCAAGACAAGAGCCTGAGTCACATTGGTAGTGCTACTCATGTCACTAGGGTGGTGGAACCCTATTTTGAGCCTGCTAAGGACCATGACGTGAACAACTGTTGGCTGAATGCTTCTCGAAAGCATAAGCCACCTTCCTTTGATGGGTCTTATGATCCTATTACTGCGGCGACAAGGCTGCAGGCGCTGGACAAGATCTTACGGGTTATGCAGTGTACTGACTAGCAGAAGCTGATGTTTGCGACGTAGATGCTGGAGGGCGATGCCCATGAGTGGTGGATGAACACCTCTCACGCTTTTGAGATGCAAGGTCATGTTATGACGTGGCCATTCTTCGAGGATTGCTTTCTGGGTCAGTACTTCCCTTATAATGCACAGGAGATGAAGCAGGGGGAGTTCGACAGGTTGGTGAAGCGCTCGTTGTCTGTTGACGAGTACCTGGCCAAGTTTAATGAGCTGGTGAAGTTTGCACACTTTCGGATGGTTTTGCCTACTCCGACGTTCTTGGATGCTAAGTTCCGTAGGGGATTTAACGAGGAGATAGTTGATCGCCTTGCTGGAATGGCTTTAAGAGACTTCGAGACACTTGTGCAGCAGTGTCGGGGCATCGAGGATGTCTGTATTACGGGTAAGGCCAAGAGGGCCAAGATTGCTGAGGTAAAAGGAACAGGTAGTTCCACTTCCTGGAGAGACAGAAAGTTTGGGAGTAAAGGTAAGGGAAAGCAGTTTGCGACTAGGCAGGCGCCTGGTCAGTTCAAAAGGATTTCGTTACAGCAGGGAAGTTTTGCGAGGCCTCATTCCAGTCCTAGATGTTCGGGGTGCGGGAAGGAGCATGCAGGACGTTGTGCTACGGGGCAGCTGATATGTTTCCAGTGTGGCAAGGAGGGCCACTTTTCCAGAGACTGTCCGTCGTCGACGGCGAGAGCTGCAGCAGTTCTGTTGCAGATGGTTCTCTTGGCACCTACTTCGGCACCTGCAGTGCCACTTGCTACTGGACGTGTGTACACGTAGGATCACCAGCAGTCGGATAGAGCTCCGAACCTTGTCAGAGGTACTGTGTCTATTGGTGGTTCTTATATTGATGTATTGGGCATGTGATTTCAGCTGAAGGAGTTGCAGTGGTTCCCAACAAGATCGAAGCCGTGCTAGATTGGGAGAGGCCCAAGACGGTTACAGAAGTTAGGAGTTTCTTGGGTTTGGCAGGTTACTATCGGAGGTTCATCAAGGGATTCTCTGTGATGGTTCTTCCATTGACTCGCCTTACCCGGAAAGAGACTCCATTTGTGTGGACTCACGAGTGTGAGGAGTGCTTTCAGGAGCGAAAGGAGAGATTGACAACTTCACCGGTGTTGATCCTTCCTGATCCTGAGGAGCAGTTTGAACTTTACTGTGAAGCTTCTGGAAAGGGGCTGGGCTGCATTTTTGATGCAGACTGGTAGAGTTGTTGCTTATGCTTCAAGGCAGTGGAAGCCTCATGAGAAGAACTACCCGAATCATGATTTGGAGTTGGCTGCGATTGTTTTTGCTTTCAAGATTTGGAGGCATTATCTGTTTGGTATGCAGTTTGTCACGTTCAGTGACCACAAGAGCTTGAAGTATCTGTTTGATCATAAGGAACTGAACATGAGACAAAGAAGATGGATGGAGTTTCTGAAGGACTACGACTTGGAGTTGAAGTACCATCCTGGCAAGGCCAATGTGGTAGCTGATGCTCTGAGTCGAAAATCCGTGAGTCTATCCAGTTTGTCGATGGGTGACTTCGACGTCATTGAGAAGTTTCGAGATCTGAAAGTGACTTCCTTGTTTGGGGTTGCATTTCTCGAAATGAAAACTGTGAGAGTCAAGAACGAGCTTATAGAGAATATCCAAGAGGCGCAAGTATAGAGAGAGTGCCTGAACTATGTGAAGAACCAAGACGGTGTGTCTTGGAATGAGAATGGACTTCTGTTGTTTCAGAAGCGAATGGTGATTCCTCGAGGTCCTTTGACCGAAGAGGTTATAGAAGAGGCCCATAAGGGCCAGTTTACTGTTCACCCTGGTGCTACAAAGATGTATCAAGACTTGAAGAGGAATTTCTAGTGGCCAGGAATGAAGAAGGACATAGATGTGTGTGTCCAAGTGTTTGATTTTCCAGAAGGTAAAGATTGAACACCAGAGGCCGTCTGGTAAGCTTTAACATCTTGAGATTCCAGAATGGAAATGGGAGAGCATTTCCATGGACTTCGTGATGGGTTTGCCGAAGACTCAAGTTGGCCATGACTCTATATGGGCCATCGTGAACAAATTGACAAAGTCTGCCACTTTCTTCCGGTAAAGGTGATCTTCACTACAGAGCAGTTGGCCAAACTGTATGTTCGCGAGATAGTGAGGCTTCACGGGGTGCTCGAGAGTATCATCAGTGATAGGGACTCGAAGTTCACATGTCAGTTCTGGGAGGCGCTGCAGGGAGCTTTTGGGACTCAGTTGAGATTGAGTACAGCCTATCACCCTCAGACTGATGGACAGACTGAGCGGACCATCCAGACCTTGGAGGACATGTTGAGGGCTTGCACGTTGGAGCAGGGTTCAGCATGGGATAGGTACCTGCAATTGGTTGAGTTTTCTTATAACAACAGTTTCCATGCTAGCCTGGGCATGGCACCCTACGAGGTGTTGTATGGTAGGAGGTGTCGTACTCCTACCTGCTGGTCTGAGGTTGGATATCGTGAGTTATTTGGTTTGGACTTTGTCCAAGATACCACCCTGCAGATCGAGATGATCAAGGAAAAAGTTGAAGCAGGTGCAGAATCGCCAGAAGATTTATACGATGTCAAGCATCGTCCACTGGAGTTCAGTGAGGGTGAGCACGTGTTTGTGAAACTTTCACCTGTCACCGGTGTTGGACGGGCACTCGGAGTGAGGAAGCTGAGTCCGCGATTTATTGGGCCATACCAGATCCTTAGTAGAGTAGGACCTGTTGCCTACCGGCTTGCCTTGCCTCCGAACTTGGCTAACATCCACGACGTGTTTCACGTGTCTCAGCTTCGCAAGTATGTAGCGGATCCTTCGCACGTGGTGCAACCGGATGATGTAGAGGTTCGGGAGAACTTGAAAACTCCTGTCGGACCACTCAAGATTCTCGATCGTGGCGAGAAGCAGCTGAGGAGAAAAGATCATTCCGATAGTCAAAGTGCAATGGACAGGAAGAACTCCTGAGGAGTGTACCTGGGAGAGAGAGAATGAGCTTCTCCAGCAGTATCCCAATTTTCGAGACATGTATATTCTAATTTTGAGGACAAAATCCTAAAAAGATGGGGTGAATGTAAGAACCTGCACCGTTAATTAAGGAATTTAATTAATTAATTATGAGAAATTAGGAAATAATTCCATAATTGATCATAATATTAATGATAAGGCTTAAATAATTATGGTAAGTGAGTAATGATGTTGAAAGTCGCTTTTCTAACAAAAAGTGCAGATATCGGTTCGGCTACTCGGTATAAATGCGTACCGATGAAGTATCCCGAAAAATTATAATAAGTACATGAATATTCCTAGAATAATATGTAGGACTGTGATTTCAAGTTAAATTAATGAGAACTGGTGCCAGAACTGACACTGGCTATGGAAAAGCGCGTACCGCAAAGGTGCTGCGAAAAATATAATAAAAATACGATAAATCTTAGAAAAATGAGTAGGTTCAGAATCCTAAGTTTGGGATTAAAACGCTAAGCGTATCTATTAGCGCTAATACTATGTGTTTAATTCCTAAGTGATTATAAATACAACTTTTGGCACATAACCCTAGGCCATATTGGCTTCCTACGTGAGTCTTCAGCAGCTGAGTGTCTCTCTTCTTGTCATCTTCACCTTCCCTCACTCTTTTGAACCAAAGGTGCCATTTTTGCTCTTGGTTTATCTACCAAAACACATTTGCCTTGTGTGGGTTGGTCTTGTGAGGTTGTGAGTGGCTTCATTGCTGAGTTGTAGCCTTTGGTTGTGTGTGTGGAGGTGCTAAGTTTAAGAGTTGGTTTGAGCGAGCTTGGTTCTTTCATTGAGATCTCCAAGGGGTGATCTTTGGTACAAAGAACCAACCTTTGATCACCATTTTCGTGCACCTTGTAGTCAGAATCGTTGGAGCTGGTTGGTGAGCTCTAAGAGCAACTTTTTTCTGATTTTGAGTCTTGGGTAAGTGTTACCAACCTTGATCATGAGTTTTCTTGGTGTAAATTTTAATTCTGGCATGTTAATGAGTTAAACAAGTTTGTAATATATGTGAACTTAAAAGAGAATAAAAATGCATGCTTGGACGTTTTAATGGGTTAAAAACCCAACCTTTGGAGTGATATCTCGCGAAATGCAGAAACTGCATTCTGTCGCGAAATATCTGGATATGGTATCCGGATATTGATATCCGGATATGGGGTCTTGTGATATCCGAATATGGATATCCGGATATGGGGTCTTGTGATATCCATATATGGATATCCGGATATGAAATATCCGGATATGTCCCCGACAAATATTCGAATATTCTGGGAATTTCGAGACAGTGTCTATACTGTTCATACAGAACTGTGTAATGGGTTTGTGGACCCTAGATTGAGGAAGTGGGACTTTTGTAATAATTAATCTAAGTCAGAATCTAAGTGATTAAGGGCTTGTGGCTTTGTGAAAAGCCTAATATTGTATGCTTGTAGAGTATGATTATTCATATGTTAATTGGTCCTTAACAGATTGTGATTCTACTGTGTTTGGACTTTCAGCTTGTGTGGACTCTTGGCATTGGATAGTTAGCTTGCAAGGTAAGCTTTCGTGTCCTCGGTTTATCCATTGTTGGTTCCGCCATACCCCATGTGGGAATGGTTTATATGCATGCTGTGTTACATGCTTTGATATTTGAAATGATTTTGAGCTGTTAAGTGCAAATGCTTATGATATGTATGTGGTGTTCACCCGATGGGATGTGATCCTAAAGGTAGGTACGGCATGGGCGCGTACTGTGTGGGTAATAGACGTATTCCTGCATTTCTCTGGCTAGTAGATTATTAGTGACACACATGACATGATTATTTGCTGTTTTTCACTGATTTGGAAATGATATTGATAAACTACTTTTGGAACTTATATTGCACATGTAAGTGAGCTTGGGGTGGAAGATCCTTGAGGATCCCTTGTCTTACTGAGATTTCTTGTTTAGAGATCTCACCCCACGTTTGGGGACGCTTATTTCAGGTTCAGGTAACTTGGGGGCTCATGCCTCTGGCGGCAGGAGGCCGGAGCTTAGTCGATTATATATGTTGTATGCTGACATGACTGGATATTGGATGTTGTTTATGTTTTATGCCATTATTATGATGTTTGAGTTGTGACTCTTGTTGGACTTGTTTTCTTGTTTGGTGAGCATGGGGTTTGTCCATGCTGCTTTGATGTTAGCACTTTTCAGCTTGAGTTGTATAAATTATCAGGTTTGTCCGGTCTACATGTTGTAGTTCCGTGACTAGAGACATATTTATGTTATTTACATATTGAGGTATTTCAATTAGCTGTCTTTGCAATATATATACATGCGATGTTTTGAAAATGATTTAAGTAATCAAGTTGGTAATGAATAATGACGTCATAATTGAAAAGAAAAAGATATTTTGCATTTTTAATTAAGTGCAGCTTAATACGATGATATGATATCAATCCGGATATATACGGGGTGTTACAAAATGGTGTAAGGTTGTTTTTGTCTCACAAAACATTTTTTACTTTCCCTCCACACGGTGAGTTTTTTATTCCATGTTTTGAATGGAAAAATCTCAAACTCAATTCATGTGGAAAATAATTGGATGGGAGACATTTTTTCCAATCTTCAATTTAGTTCTTCTCCTACCAAACATTGCAAACTTATTTTCTCTACCACTCTTTCCAAGGCAAAAAAATTTTTGCATCGTACCAAACATATGGGAGGTTTTGTTTTATTTATTTATTTATTTTTCTTGAAAAGGTTCACTCTCACCTACTATGATCATATTAATTTTTACTTAATTCTCATGGTTTCAAACTTAATGTGAAGAATCAATTCAATCTAAAAACTTAAGTTATTGAGTGAGGTTATATTAATGAACTTATATATCTTTAACACACCTACTTACACGAGAGATCATTGGGCTTGAAGGGTGAACAATGTACATGCCCATCTACCTCTGTTAAGAAATTCCACAAGAGAAAATAGAGGCGATGAGAATTAAACCCCGTGACACCGAGGCTTTAATATCATGTAAATAACCAATTCATCAACCCAAAAGCTTATAAAAGCTAATAAATGAGATTATATTAATGGTTTTATATATCTCTAACACTTTCTAAATAGAATCACTGTGATTATAATATGTATTACAATATGTCTTTGGTAAAATATGTTTCATGTATCAAGAGATTAATATATATTCCCAGGACTGAATATTATATTTTAGGATTTATATAAAAGAAAATAACTAAATTTCAAAATAATTAAGTATTTTTTTAATTTGGTGTAAAAATTTAAAATCGAGACAGCCCGATGAAAATTAAATTTCATTACTTAATAAGCATTCAGCACCCCTTGATTTTTTAAAAGTACCTTGGCACTTTATTAAACACATTTTTTTATCTTGTTTGACAGTAGGCAATCATCTCACTTTGAATTAATGAACATATATTATTGGCTGTGAATTTTGCTTACTTTAATTAGGGGTGTTCGCGGTCTGGATTTGATCGGTTTCGGAAGCAAAAATCATCTGATCCAATCTCTTCGGTTTGATCATATAATCATCCATTCGGTTTGAATTTTTTTTCAAATCCGATCTGATCCAATCCAATTTTTTTCGATTTGAATTGGATCGGTTTTCGATTTTTTGAAAATTCTAAAATTTATTTCATGATTATTGTGTAAATAACATCTTTTGTATATATTGGCTTTGTAAAAAAAAAAATTGAAATACAAGAGCATTAGTAAACTATAATATAGCTTTTTTTTTTTTTGCAATGAGATATGAAGCTCTACAAAGATAAAATTTTGTTGATAAGATGTTACTATATTTTTCTTGGGTGTAGTTGATGGGTTAATGAGTCTTGAGTTTAGAAATTTTTAGGCTATGATTGGGGAAAGACCCAAGTAGGTAGAGGGGAATTAATATATTGGATTTATTTGGATTTGATCGGTTTTCATCAACTCATCCAAAAACCGATCCAATCCAATTAAAATTTGCGATTTTTTTCGGTTTTTCGTTATCGGTTTATTCGGTTATCGGTTTTTCAGTTCGGTCACCGCGGTTTGGATCGGTTGATGAACATCCCTAACTTTAATGACTTGATTTCTATGTTATTTGGGTTGAAGACTGGTTATAAGTGCAGAGTAATTGCTCAAAGTCGGAGAAAATGGCCCACTGTGGTAAAAGAGGAAAAGAAGAATAAAAAGGACAGGTTGGTTATCAAGCATATAGTTTTTACCACTTTATTGCAGGAGTTTATAACCCACATGGAAATATGCTGAAGTAAAAAAAAGGAGGGGGGATGAGGACTGTCAGATGCATTTTATGATCAAATGGACAGAAACGATCTTGGCTTTTAGAGATAAAAATAGGAATTTTCGTTTCTTTGATAGAGTCTGTTTTAAGTGTTTTTCTAGTTTTACAAGTCTGAGTTCTTTTTTACATTGTAAGCAAGTTTTCTCTCTTCTCGGTAAGTAAGTGAATGTGAAGCTATCCTTGGTAGAACACCCAAGAACCTTCAACATCTTTCAAGTTCCGATCTAAGAATTCAGCATTGTTAGCTAAGCTTTTCTTTTACTTACGTTCATCTAGATACTGGTCTGTAACTTGATATACCTATTTCTTTTTAAGTTTGTTCAATGTATTTTTTTAGTTTCAGATTTTTTTATTCACTGATAGCATGGCTTGCTAATTTCCTTTTTCTGGAATTCAAGATGAGTGGATAAACCCATTTATTTTCAGAACACTGTGAGGCTTTTTTTTATCTCATTTGATTAGCAACTCTCTTAGTTTCAAGAAATCTTGGGAAAGACTCTTGAACATTCTTGCATGAGCTATGATTTGGAAATCAAGTAAATGCTTTCTTGCTAATTGAACCCTTTAGGTTAGGGATAACTAGATGAGGCAGTTGATATTTTTGTATAAAGAATCAGAAGACTTTGGGAAAAGACCCTTCTGAGGAACAAATCTGGAACTAGGAAGTTCCATCTAAACGTGCTTTAGTAGTTCAAATTCTATGATAAAAGTGCCTTAGCAGTTTAAAAATGCAGGATTGCGAATTGCTTTAGGGAAGTCCATGAATTGAGAATTCTAAGATTTTTTCCATTTGTTAATCCAGTTTTAATTACAAAATCAATTTTATTCAATTCTTTAGTTTAAAAGATAGATTACTACAATCCAAGAATTAAAGAATAGAAACAAGAAAGGAAATTAATCCAACCTGTTCCCAGAGAACGATAACTCTATTTTTGAAAAATTACCACCAACATATATACAGTGATGTCTGAAAGTTTTCACAGATATTTCAAAGGTTAATAATGCTTTATTTAAAGTTGGTTTTTTTTTATAAAGGAATATTAAATAAAGATATATTTAACATTTATTTAATCAAATATTTGTCGAAGTTTTAACTTATTAAAATTTAAAGATCATAAATATAATTTATCTCTTAACGTTGAAAATAAATTTTATTCAAAAACTTTCTTTAACGACCACAACCGTGCCACTTTTTTAGTTCAAGTGATTGAACAAATTCGAGGAAACTTCTTTATGAACATTAGACGATAAAAAATATCCAATTTATCTCGACCTGCTCTAGAGTATATATTACCAAAAGTATAATTTAATAATAATATTATGTTAACTCAAACCTTGAAAGATGAAACACTAGTTACGTTTCACTAACAAACTTTGGCTTTTTTACCCCTTTATCCCATATTAAATAAAAAATAACCATTTCGTCCCTGTACCAAAACTATACACTAATATGTCTCAATTTAATCGATTATTTCACGAAAAAAATAATAATCAATTAGACGATGCAGTTTTGGAAAATGCGGTTCTTGTTCTTTTGTGGCTCTCTTCTTCGGGAACCGCATCCGTGCAAGAGAATGCAATTGGGTGTTTGTCCAATTTGTATCGGAGGAAGAAAGTTTGAAGCTTTTGGTTGTTAGAGAAGTTGGGGTCGAGTGTTTGAAGAATTTCTGAGACTCGGTGGGAGTCTCGAGGTTGCGGTTGAGTTTCTGAGGAACTTGGTTTCAAATTCGAAGGTTGCTGAGGTTCTTGTTTCTTATGGGTTTGTGCCCCACGTTGTGGGGGTGTTGAATTGTGGGGTGATGGCATTGAGAATTTCTACGACGAGGGCTGTTTATGCTTTGGGGTTCAGCAGCACAAAGGCGAGGAAAGAGATGGGTGAATGTGGGTGTATTACCCCTTTGGTTAATATGTTGGATGATAAAGGTGTGGAAGAAAAATAATCAGCAGCGAAAGCCTTGTCAATGTTGATGCTGCCTGAAGGGTTTTTCATAAGGATGAGAGGGGCATAGTGAGTGTTGTTCAGCTTTCTAATCCTTTGTTGCAGAATTTAGATAAAAGATACCTTGTTTCGTTGCTGACCTCGCTCGTTCATTCCAAGAATTGTAAGAAGCAAATGGTTGTTGTGGGTGCTTGTTTATATGTGTAGAAACTTGTTGACATGGATGTTAAGGGATCCAAGAAACTCTTGGAAAGCCTTGGTCGTGGTAAGATTTGGGTTGTTTTTGCAAGACCCTGGAAATAAAATGAAAAATATAGAGAAAAGTGAGGAACAAAGTGTTGTAGCTAGATGAAAAAATAAGAAAGGGAGCAAGTGTTTTTTTTCCATCACTGCATCGTCTAATCGATTAGTTAATCGATTATTTATTTTTTCCGCCAAATAATCGATTAAATAACTATGTAATCGATTAAATTGGAGCATATTAGTGTATAGTTTCGGTACAGGGACAAAATAGTTATCTTTTATTTAATGAAGGGTAATGAGGTCAGAAAGCCAACAAACTTTTCTATCACTTTTCAAACTCTCAAGAGAAAGAA